CACATAGATCCCATGACTTAATCAAGATGGAAACATCACCATATCACCATGACTAGTTTAAGGATGCAAGGTGAAAATGGAAATAAATACCTTCTAAACCCATAAAAAAAGACTAAAACCAGCTCTGGGAATACCAGATTGAACAGCTAAATATAATATTAAACTATTTGATTAAGTAAATTATTATATTATTCACAACTTAATATGTGGTTACTGTTATAAGGGAAAAACACTGTTCCAAGATGACTTAGTAAACTGGACAAAGGTGTAACCAATCTCTTGGCTGGTGAAAAACCATCACGCAATGGCCAGCATGGCTGTGCTGTTACGTAGCCCTAGAAAGACACACTAGCAATTCTAGGGCCTATGCTGCAGTGTCTGAGCTGCATGTTGTTGATTCCACAAGTGCAGTATTCCACTATAAAGGGATTGCAGTTTTGGATTGTTTTTCAAATGAAAGCAGAAGACTAACCGCAGCCTTGTAATCAATGTCATCCATTGACCTAAAGAAATCCAAGCTCTTTGCTCCTGACAGCTTTCCTTGATCTGAACTGTGTGTGCTCAGCGTGTCCAAAATCTCCCCAAGCAAGTCCATTTCTCCTTGATGCTGAGGAGTTATTCCAATTTCACCAGAATCATCACTATCATAAAAGTAAGCAGAAGCTTCTTCACTGTCTTCTGATGATAACCTGAAAACAAAAACTTCCATCAGCTAGGAACATAAAAGCCATTTTATTACAGCCACTTCTGAAAGTAAGTAGGAGAATGCGTTCCAAGACTTTTGAAAGGGAACATAAACCCGGAATTTCCTTCTCTTCAAGAATTTTCCTAAACATAGATGTATGATATCTGTGGAGATGCAGTTACCATTAGCCGGTTTTCCTGTCTCCTGGCTCCTCCCCAGCCACTATAACTGTTATTTCAAGTCACCTTTAATATGACTTCCCAAATCTTCCATCCAAATTTTACAGTTACTCCAAACTTGATTCCTCTTTTCCCTTGTCTGCACCTTATATTTAGGTCAGTGTTGCTACACCTCTCCAGCTGACCTAGCCACATACTTTGTTCTAGTGGCAAGACTCTCATACTGCAACTCTTCTTCTGTTATATGACCAGATTTACTGGAGTACTGCCTATCTGCAAGGAGAACTGGTGCTTTTGTCTCTTATTTTCTCTTTCATTCATTGCAATACCCTTACCTCTGATCCCCATACTACTGCAGTCTTTCCCTGTCTCTGTCTATCCAGAATACTACTACAAAGGGTATTTCCATGGCTCACTTTTTTGATGATATCCTTTGAACACTTCAGTAGCTCCCTCTTCCCTACTGCATCATGGCTTAAGCTGCTTGACTTTGCTTTCAAGGTCCTTCATGGTTTATATCCATATGTTCATTATCAAAAATCATCTCCTGAATTCAATCAGAGAATGCCTCAATGCAGCTTAAGCCTCAACTTGTGATTTCCCTTTAATTCATACATAGGAAGACCTTGATATAAAACTCACAAGGCAACATTTCTCTTTTGGACCCTTCAGAAAACTTTCCATTGTCATGACCACAACACGAGACTTATTCTTTAAGTCACTGCCCACCATGTTGATGAATATTATTTCGTTGCTTCTTTGTGTATGCAGTCTATCTTTTTATCTTGAGTCTGTGAAGACTGAGGATTATGTCAAGCTCTTCTGGCACTATAAATAATGAGAAGATATAATAGCCTGTCCCTCTTTTTAAAAGCAGATTTAACCCTAAACTACTTGACATCATCTAGATCAAGAATCAAGCTAGCAGCCTGGACAGGAGAAAAATGCATCACTTGAACTCAACTTTGCTAAATAACACTAGTTACCCTTTCTCCTGTACATACACACACATCCAAGGCTTCTTACTTGCTTGTTCTCTCCATTTCATCATCATCGTCTTCATCCAAGACAAAATCCTGGTTACTGAGATGCTGGTTGAAACGACTCTGGAAGACAGAAAATTAACGTTATAATTTTTGTTTATTTTTTCTATTTCAGCATTACTTATTTGGATACTAGCTGCCACTTTACTCATTAAGACTTCCTGAGCACTTGATGAGGAAAACCATGTATCAATCAAGTCTTCTAAAGGTTGTTATAAGAGGATGCGAAGTCCTCAACTGTCACCAATTAAAGAGCAAGAGAACCATTTTTTTTTCATGGCCTATGGAGGGCCTTATTATTTATGCAAAGCCTGGAGTGCCTTATTATTTATGCAAAATCTTGATTAGCAGAAGACTGGCTATTGGAGGAAAAACATCACTCAAGTCTACTACCTACCTTTTCTTGCAAGTACATCACAAAAAGCACTGTGGTTTACTACTTTCTGATAGAAATATTTGCCAAGTTTTGGTTGATGGTTGCCAAGTTTTTCTTCTGAGCATGAAGAAAAATGAATTTTTGAAGTAGCAAATACAAAAGAAGTCAGGAGTCTCTTTACATAGCTATATTTATGTTAGGGTGTTAAAAGAATTGCAGAGTAAGTAGTATGCCACCTCGAAAACTGTGCACTAAGAATGCCTTTGTGCAGGATAATTTATTGTAAATTACAGTTAACTCAAAGTTAGCGTACACTCAGAGCATGCGGAACTTGTGTAGAGTAGCTGGTGTGCTGTAAATTCACACACTAGCGTACTGAGTACTCACTAACCTGGTGTATCACATTATTATTTAGCAAACAGAACCAGGCTAAAGATTTCTATAATACTTGAAAAAACATCTCTATCTTCATAGAATCATAGAATGGTTTGGGTTGGAAGACCTTAAAGATCGCCTAGTTCCAAGCCCCCTGCCATGGGCAGGGACACCTTCCACTAGACCAGGTTGCTCAAAGCCCCGTCCAACCCCCTTCCACCCTGGCCTTGAACACAACCAGGGATGGGCCATCCACAACTTCTCTGGGCAACCTGTTCCAGTGCCTCACCACCCTCATAGTGAAGAATTTATTCCTTTTATCTAATCTAACCCTACCCTCTTTCAGTTTAAAGCCATTACCCCTTGTCCCATTCTCCACCCAGTCTGTATTTGTGCTTTGGATTGCCCCGATCCATGTGCAGGACCTTGCACTTGGCCTTGCTGAACTCAATGACGTTCACACAGGCCCACCCCTCAAGCCTGTCAAGGTGCCTCTGGATTGCATCCCTTCCCTCCAGCGTGTTGACTGCACCACATAGCTTGGTGTCATTGGCAAACTTGGTGAGGATGCACTCAATCCTACTGTCCATGTCGCCGACAAAGATGTCAAACAGCGCCGGTCTCAATACCAACCCCTGAGGAATACCACTCGTCACTAGTCTCCACCTGGACATCCAGCCATTGACCGCAACTGTTTGCGTGCGAGCATCCAGCCAGCTTCTTATCCAGCGAGTGGTTCATCTGTCAAACCCATATCTCTCCAATTTAGAGACAAGGATGTCATGAGGGACAGTGTCAAATGCTTTGCACAAGTCCACAAGTACATTTAAGTCAGGAATTTTAGTCACTTGTGCTTCACAAATGACTGTCTTAAGGTCTGTGCATCTCTTATACTTGTTTTGTATCAAAAACCTGCAAAGATTAACTGTGCAGGCAATCAATCCACTGAAGAGATTCTGAACCTTGAAAAACTGGCCATAATTTAAACACATATGGATAGAATTTGTGCAAAGGGAAAACAGTGTTAGCTAACTTTAAAGAAAATCATACGCAAGTAAAAAGAAGTGCTCCTGCCCACATCTCATCATGCAGTTCACCAAATGCCTGAACTTACAACAAGACCCTGATGGGGAAGAAATATAGCCTTAATTTCAGACTACAAGGAGCTTGGAAGTCTTGTACTGTGAGGATTTCAGTATGCCACCTATTACAGATGTTGTCAGTGTTCTACATGTACCAGGACACTCTCTGTAACTTTTGCCCCCCCCTTATTGTCAGGAACGTCTCAACGTTCACTCTTTATAGACTGACACATTTGTTCTTGTTCAACAAGAGAGGATTTAATTAAAGCAGCAAGTTTTGATAACACTTTCCATAGTTCTTCATCCACAAAGAGGAAACAGGTGGTTCTTAACGTGTTAAACGAAGTAACAGTTGATAGAAAATGAGAGAATTATTAGCATATTAAAAACTATGAAAGAACCCAAACTAAGCTTCATACTGAGCAAAAGTTATAGGCTGGAATGCAGAGAAACAAACTACTGATGTTTCTAACTCCTTCCCAGTTTTGTGAGTTCTTAGTGTCATTCCCATCAGTGTTGTAATCAATCATATCCCTGCTTGTAACTAAAGGGAGGTTAACCACTCTGTCTTAATTGATATTGTTAATTGGTTATCTTACTAATTACCTCCACAACTACAGTCACTGTTTTCAGCTTAAAAGTTGCTGCTTTAAGTATTTATCTTCACTGGGACAATTAAAATACTTTCTTTCTATAACAGTGGTAATTCACTACTTCCCCAGGAAAATTCTGACATGACATTCGTTGTAATTAAAGCTCTAATCCTGGAACTGACTCTTGGAGGGCAAAACCCTGTCTCTGTCTCACTTTCTTGGAATTTGCATCAGAATTAGATGCTGCCATCACATTTACTTCTACTAATGTAAAGACAAGATTTTGCAGGAAAGAAGGTTCTTTAAGAATGTTGAGAAATTTCAGAAAAGAAAACCAAAACTGACACTTGTTTATCTGTAGATGGATTAACTCTGCCAATGGAATAAAATCCCACAAGATAACACTCACTGATTTGTCGAAATAATAATGTTTCAAAGAGCATAGATGGCAAGTTTCAAAAAATTAAAAAAAACACAAAAAACAAAAAACCAAAACCAAAAAAAAAAGAAAAAGATTGTGTCTTTGAGAACCAGGAACTGAATAAAATTAATTATAATCAGCAAACACCACAGGCATAGCAGTGGCCCCTTGGAGCACCTACAAACAATATTATGAAAGTGCATTAGCGAAAGCAAGAATAACACATAAAGGAATGTAACAGAGCATATGTTGATAAACCTAAAAAAAAAAAAACCCCAAGCCCAGAAACTTCTAGTCCCTAGGTCAGACTCTCTCTTTGAAAAAAAATTTTTATTACCAATTTAAATGTTTAGGGGTACAAAATTATACGAGAAGACTTTCAAGAACTGAACCAAATAAAATGGGATTTACATACAAAGAAAAAAAAAGCAAAAGGGGAAGGAAAGGAAAATATCTGGCTGTAAATAACAACATTCTCCAGAGTTTACAGCTCCGTGAGCTGGCCACAGAGACAACAAGCAACACATGTTTTTGAATAGGTGACTTTCCTTTAGGAGCTGTAATAAAAACGACTGCAAGGGAGGGGTATGTTCAGACTACTTTGCAAAGAAAGAAAAAGAAAGAAAGAAACTCTTAATAAATTCCAAAAGGAGAACCATAAATCTTTTTCAATGCTCCACTAGGCAAAGTGACACAGTACGTGCACCTGCAAAAGCTGTCAAAGTCATTTAAGAAGTCCTTCCATTACTGACGTACCCTGCTGTTTGCAGTTATTTAAGCTTTTAATTTCTGTCTTTTCTGCATTTTGAAGTGTGTAACCTTTTTTATACCTTTTTATGAAAAAAGGACAGACTTCTGTTTCCTTCCTGATCAGCATTCTAATAACCACCAGACCATTTAAATTTATTACTGCAAGAAATGATATGGTAACACTCCTTTCTTGCTGCACCAGAACTTTATAAAGTCTTAATAGACTGCTGTCATGTTTTTTTCTATAAAATAAAGCAACAAACTTCTTTAAAGTACTCAATTGTTTTGCTTCTTCCAACTAGTTCTGCTTACATAATAAATTATTTAATGATCTACTTTATATCAAAACATGAACAGGGATTCAACTTTTGCTATTTCAAATTTTTCTCATCTTCAGGCATGCTGCACCGCAAGAACCCGTCTCTCATCTTGCTCAGAATATGAGAGAGTGCATCATACTTAAAGGCAACAAGCTCACGCTCTCCACAAGCCACTGTTGAACCATGAAGTCTGCATGTAAAGTATGGCAAAGGAACAACTGCAGCCAGTGTGAGGATATATATCCTTTTCGTATATACCCTCTTTGGTTTCTGCCCCACTTCAAAATCTCATTCTGCAAGTAGTCTGCTACCTATACAGTTGTGGTAATGCTGATCACTGAAACCAGAAAACGAAGGTGCTCACAGTATAAATATGGGTAGAACCAAGCAGAGTGAGAATAAGTCCTTAATCTTCTTCGGCTTGCTGGCAGCCTCAAAACATACTACTTTGGCATAAAAATGTAGACGGAATACATGAATGCTAAAGGATTTAAATATGAGATGGTTACATTCTTGATTGGGCATGAAAGTCAATCTTTGAAATGTCAGCTTTTTATTTAATGCTAGACCTTTCAGAAGCACAGCTTTCTGGAATGAGTGCTTATTGATCGATACTAAAGCAGGAAGTTTAACAAAGCTGCTATTAATTGTCCTCAAAGTGAGAAACAAATAATCTTTTGATAAATGGTAGCACACATATAATTTCACATTTACTGGCTACTCAATACATCAACACCTATAAAGTTTCAAGAAAAGAAAAATATCTACTATGGTTTAAATCTTTGAAATACTGTTTCCTTTTTCTTAAAAATTTAAAGATTATTCATTCAGTACAAGAAAGCAAAATAAATACAAGTCCACTATTATTTATGATTCAGTATTTTATTCTACCTATCCTCCTCTACAACCCAATCACAGACATAATTATGGCTTCACCTCCAGTAGGGAAACAAAAGATCTCTCAATCAAACTTTCTAGTTAAGCACAACCTGTTGCCTTTCTTTCCAGTTAAAGACTGGGACCTAAAGCAATGGGTAATGAAATCAGAGGGAAGTACTTCACATTCCACTCCACAAGGGCTGAGACTGATGGGGGAAGAGGGAAATAAGAGAGATAAAAAAAAGAAGTACAGTTTCTAAACTTTCT